TCAAATACGAAGTATCCAATATAATAACGTTTGGAGTCATAGAAATATATACGTAGTCAGATACATCAACTTTCATGTGTATATTTCATTTCTCCCTCACTCATTCTCTCTCCCCACATATATGGTTATCTCTGAAGGTCACATGACATATCGATCATATAAATATTAGCATATTTGGAAAATGCTGCCTTCATCGGTGAATTAATGTCTGATTTATTGCGAAATCGTTGACTTGCATAATCAAATCTGACAGGATACATAAATATTTACTACTAGCAGCATGGCCCGGCGTTGCCCGTGCTTGATTCAAATATCGTACGACTCATACACTTGACGTAAAATATTTTTGCCCTTCCTTGCCTTTAAAGGAGTGCCCTTTGTGCTGCTGATGTTGCTACATGCCTTACTTCTTGCCTATCTCACACTGCGAATTTTTTCTAAGCTCTATACTAAACATTAAATCTGTTACGAAAAAAGAACTAAACAAAATGAACACAAAACGATCAGCTTTAAAAAAGGACTCGTAACTGGAAAAACCGAATGAAAAAAGAATGTTAACACAAATACTTTTTCACATCCAACCCAGTTCTGCGGAATCAGAATCAACGTTGAGTTTAAGCAAGCGAATGAGCCAATTGGAGTAAAGTGCCATGCAGATTTAAATATTTCCCACTTGTGACGAATGCAGCTATCGATTTTTTTTTTTTTTTGCATGCTAGCATGCTAGTTAACATTCGTGTCAGTCAGCTGTTGGCTCTCACACTGGCCAATAGAATCTTCCTGCCTATTCGTAGCAGCCAGCTATAGGCTCCGCAAACTACATGAAAACTGACGCAGAAGCATGAAAAAATCGATTATTTCCACTATCGATGGGAGTTGGGAAATGCAAAGTCGGTCTTGGCCTTCCCGCTAACCTGGAACATGTGCATGTAAATTTTGGTGCAAATCCGTCAAAAATTGCGGCCGCGCATTCGTTACACACACACACACACACACACACACACACACACACACACACACACACACATCCTGCCTTTTATAGATAGAGATGTTGTATGGTGATCACCTCAGATCATGTACAATAGCTTTGGTTCTCAATGCTCAATGTCCTTCAGAAACATTTTATTGAAATGTTTGTAATTCAAAGAAGCCAAGGGAGCCATGTGCAGGTTCTACTTGATTGGTGACCCCCAAACCGGGGGTGTAGCTGCGTGATTCACCCGATTTCAACAGCCTTACACGCGCACCTAGGAGAAAAACCGTTGAACTAACAGTTATATAAACACCTACTCGAGGGAGGAGAGTCTCTGAGACATCGCAGGTGAGAATGTAAGGTTCACGATTCGCGAAAGCACGCACATCTGTCGAGAGTTGGTGACGAAGTTAGGAGTTTAATAAAATGTAATATTAAATACCAAAGAGTGGGTTTGGTGTTATTATTTGGTCGGTGCGTCTATTTCATGATGCTATTATAGTTTCGCACTACCATTGTTAGCCAAAGATGCCTTCCAAAAGCTAAGCAGAGTATTAAGAGATAGAAAAACTTCGTTAGAAACAAAGAGAAGAGTACTGAATTTTAAGTGATATCTGTTCTCCTGTATGCCAGGGAATGCTGGACGATTTCATCAGTGTTAAATAAGAGACTTAAAGCAACAGAAATGGGGCTCTACAGAAAGATGCTGAGGATACCATAGACCGAACATGTGAGCAACGACACAGTTTTAGAGAAATTGAAACAAAAAGGAAACTTATACTTAACACCAGGAAGTGACAGTTGAAATTTCTGTGGCATGGAATGAGGAAGGAGGGCTTGGAAAATCTGATACTCTCAAGACAGATTGAGGGAAAGAGGAACAGAGAAAAACAACACATAACGTAAATGACAAGCTTGAAAAAATGGATGGTGAAACAGGATTTAGAAATAACGAAAAGAATTTTATTTAAAGCTGCAAGGGACAGGAAATCGTGGAGAGCGATGATCGCCTAGGTCCTGAGAGGACACTGCACATCAAGAGAAAGAATGCGACAATACAATGCTTACCCTAATCATACAAATGTCAATTTAATCTAACACAACCGTATTTTCTTTTTATATTTGGACCGTTTACAGCTAGCAAATTTTAAATTTGACCATAAGCAATTATACAAGTATCAATTCGCTGAGCCAAAACACCAGAGCAAACACAGAACTTGTTTTTTACGGTTTACCAACCCTTTGCTGGTTATTTAAAGCCAGAAAGCATTTTTTTAGATTGTAAAAATTTTGGGGATACAATAATGCTTCACTTATACAAGTTATACTAATTAACCCATATCTGGGAAGAGATTTAGAATTCGACTCTCCGCTTTCCAGTTTCGAACCATTATACATTACACCACACGCACACCCAAACTTACAGCACCTGGTATTCCCAAGCGGTCACCCCTCTAGGTAATGACCAGGCTCGGCGTTGTTTAACTTCGGTGATCGGGCGGGAAACTGTGTTCCAACGTGAAGTGGCTGTAAGCCAATTTGCATGGACTAAAATAAGGCGTTCGAATTTGCTGCCCAGTCCTCGTTTTCTAGCCTTGGCAAAATTCAGAAGCGATTACGCGGCCTTGTGGGTGATGAATTATTTAACCACCCTGCAACCCCGATCCCACAAATAAAACGTTGCTAGACTCTCACTACTCTTGCTATTCCCATGGCAAATAATTAGATTTAGACCCACCAGTTCACAGTTAAGTCCCTTCAGGCCAACTCATCTTCATTCCCTTCGTGTAAATGATTGGCAGAACGGGGTTTAGGAGAGATAGCAAAATGATAAAAAATTTACTAAAGGCTATAAAAGGCAGGAGATCGTGCAGGCCCATGATCGCAAACGTCTAACATGGCACATATAAGAAGAATGGGGATAGCAACTTTATGAAAAACTTACTACAGAAATCATAGCTAGTGTGGTGAAGCTGAAATCCTATATATTACACAGGGGTGTATGCTGTATAAACGCAAACAAAACATTTCGGCAGGGGTTAACATCTTTGTCTTGTCTCAACCTTCAATTTGCACATCTAATTCTACTTGTAAAGAAGAAGTTCCACTCAGATAGCCCCTTCCCCGGAACTGTCACGATGTGAAACAGACTCCCGAGAGGATGCTTCCCCGATCACAACAATTCAATTCAACCGTTATCGATCCTCCATATCCTCATAATATGAACTTCTTACCCGCTTCATTTACGCCCTTACAACAATCTAATCCAGTAAACCTCTAACTTGAGTGGCTCTTCGGTCTTGTATTGGATGAACAGTTATATAATAAATATAGTTACATAATTGCACACTCACACACGGACGTATTAGCAAGTGACTTAATGTATCTGACCTGAGATGGAACAAATACATTGAGTCAATTGCTTCTTCCACCGCGAGGAAAGTTGGCTCTCTGTACCGCACCAGGAAATTTTTCTCCCCGGAATCGATACTTCAAATATACAAATCAACCATTCGCCCTTGCATGGAGTATTGCTGCCATATATGGTCTGGGGCACCTTCTGTTTACCTCGGAGTTCTTGACAAGATCCAGAGACGGATATGTAATATAATTGGCCCTGATCTGGCGTCTCGCCTACAGTCACTCTCTCACAGGCGCGCCGTCGCCTCTCTCTGTCTTTTCGACAAATACTTTCATGGTAATTGCTCCGATGAACTGCTTTCACTGGTTCCCAGACTCCATGAATTCAAGCGCCCTACGAGGCTGGCATCCAGCTCCCACCCTTACACTGTAGAAACTTTTAAATGTAGCCGTCTCTTCTACTCCGATAGCTTCATACCTCGCACCTCTCGCCTGTGGAACACCCTTCCCAATTACTGTTTCCCTGAGAGCTATAATCTATTCAAATGTAATGTCAATCGATATCTCCAGTTACCTTGATCTACCCACTATCCCTCTCCTCATCCTTTCTTCTATCACTCCTATCTGCTCTCGCTCCAAATCTTCCGCAGCCCCCTGCATCCTAGTGGCTTCACGCCTTGCTCGGGGTGTAATGCTTAAAAAAAAAAGATATAGGTAAAGTATAACTTTTTATTTAAAAGAAATCATTTTTACCTCTACAGCAAGGCGATAAAAGCCGCTAGGATGCAGGGGGGTAGTGAGAATGAGATAAAGAGATAGAACAATAAAAGAACAGGATACAAGGCGGCAAAAGATAGGCATGGTAGAATGTGGGAGGTACGGTGGGGTGCAGGAGCTACGGTGGGGTGCAGGAGGTACGGTGGAGTAACGGATAGCAGCTCGGATTGAGGAATTGGAGAACCGAGTTCGAATTATTACGTGCTAATACCCTTGAGAAAGGCATGAAACCTCTTCTTCATCACCCATCAGGACAGACCGGGTTCTATAGCCTTGGATGGCAACTGGTCTACCGCAGAAGAAATGGCAACCTACTGCTTGAAAAAAAAACTGCCTCGTCAGTCATTTATCGAAAAATACATGATCGCCTACTCGTGTATCACGCACGGCACATAATTGACTGAATTGACAGGAAAACGAGATGGACAAGGTTTCCACAAGCGATAAGCTTGAGAGAAGAAACTATTAACATGAACTTGCGATTACATCTAGCAATTTCAGCAGTGTCATTTTCGGACCTACCTGCCAATCTAGTACTGAGTTTATATTCGGGAAGTTAAGGTATCAAAGAGGAAAGTTCACCCGAACAAGTACCCTGAGAATGTCAGTACAAAAATAAAAGGTTCACATTTATACAGGAAAAGTTACTATGTTATTTTCAAATACTCACCTTACTGAATGCTAAATTTCGTATATACAGTAAACTCCGTATGTATTCAAAAGAAACATGAAACAGTCAGTAGCCACCTATCTTTAAGACCACGCCTTTGTTACTTTGGCCCTGTGGGAAGCACATTGTCTTGTAAACATATACAGGAATAATTTCCTTTCTCTTCTAGTCTTGAAAACGAAAATTCGTATCCCTCCAGATGTTGACTGATTTGATTTGTTTAATGGCACATCGACTTCTTATGGAGCTTTGAAGTAATAAAAATAGGATATACGTTATTCTCCTTTCACAGTTGAATACATGGTAGATGATACTCAGATTTTGTGCATATACATGTTTGTGAGGACATAATTACTAGGGGAGGGGATATGGGTGTGTTATGTAGTTTTGTTGGAGTTATATCTTCGAATACAGTTTGATTTAAAAAAATTGCGGGATATTATATAGATTAATGCCTTAAAAGAGTTCCTTCGGGTTGGTTGCTTGGTTGGTTTTGTTTAGTGGCATATCAACACCTCTATGGGTTATTTAATGATGAAATCTAAATAATCTGAATGCAATTTTATGGCTTCAGCTAAATATATTTTGAATGTAATTGTATAATTTCAACTACAGAAAAAATTGGCTATTTTGCTACAAAAATGTATTACTGGTATTTTTACTACATAATGTTTTGTTTTGTAGGGTCCACTATTTCCCTACAGCTTGGATTCTCACAGGTGTTACCACCCTGGGTCAGAGTGGACATGGAAACAACAGTAGCTAAGAGGTGGTTCCATGTTCCTCAAAACTTTCAATCTCTTGATCAGAGGTCTTGTTGCTGAATATAGTTTATCATCATACCCAAGACTATGGAGCTATTTAAGAACATGGTGAGATATATACACTATTCATTGCACTATCTTTGGTGCTAATAATTTTATTTTTCTTAACGAATAGAGAAAAAGAGAAGATGGAGTCAGCAGTGGTTAATTTTAAATCACTGAAGCGACAGGGATTATTTTCACTTTATTTGCGTTTTATTCTTCACCCTTTCATAAAAAAACTGCATTTTTTAAAAAAGAATTATCACATGCACACACACACACAAACACACTCGCATACACACACACACACATATATATATATTTCTTTGTTACCAAGGACTGAATTTAAAATGTTGTTATAAAACTTCAACATATAAAAATTTATTTACAAAATTTGTCTATATTTCTGAGATGTGGTATTGTAACTATTTACATCGTTTCAGACTATTGTCCTCATCTTTATTGTCATATTTATGACGTTTCAGCAGCTGTACGCTCTGGTCTTCTTCAGGTGATATATGTTGAAATTTCGATCATGATATTTCTAATCTCTGCATTGCCATAATTGTTCTTGGTAGAATATAGTGAAGTGGTTTCCAGTTGTCTTCTCCATAGACATTATATCCAAAGTTGTCCTTCCTGTAGACCTTCTGCCCACCAAGACTAGAAAACATAATTTCCCATGCAATTTAACCCATAGCTGGAGTGAGATTGGGTGGATTACGTATTTCTCAAAGTAAAAAAAAAACTGCAAAGTGAAAACAAATGGTTTCGGTCGAAATCACATATTCTGCACTGTTAAGGAGCACTCCACTTGCACTTGATGTGACTTGGGTTTCAAACAGAATAATCCAGAAAGATACGCATAATTCGTGCTCTATAGATCTATTTTAGCGTATCTTAAAGCTTGCAAGGCACTTAAACATGCTTATCTCTGAGAGCGTCTTATACACGCTTATCTCTTATGTAGCGTTTTATAAACGGGTAACACGATAAGGAAGATAATGAAGACGAATCCTTTGAGGAAGAAAACAAAGAACAAAACAAAAACAAATGTCAATAATTACTCTTAAATTGTTACCTAAATATTCTTTCAAGAAAGCAAAGACTGTTTCTGGTGATTTTCTTTTAAATAATATTAGTGATTTTTCCGTCCTGGGTATGACGATAAACTGCATTCGCGTCCTGGGTAAGACGATAAACTACGTCCAACATCAAGGCCTCTGATCAGGTTTCGAGGAGCGTGGGACCACCTCTTAATTGCTGGTGTTCCCAGGTCTACCCTGATCCGGGATGGTAGCACCTGTTAGGGTCACAGCTATGGGCAAATAGTTAATCCCCAAACTGGGGTCAAAATATGTAAAAATAGGTTATAATACAAGCAATAATTTTTTTTGATGAAAAATTATTACCGGCAATACATTTTTGAAGGAAAAAGTATTACCACAGAGATTCTTCCCTGCCCTCCATTAGAATGTCTGATTTTTTTGTTTTCTTCCTCAAAGGATTCTCGAGAGCACCTCTCTGCGGATGTTCGGTCTCACGTTGACTGCTGACCTGAGATGGAACAAATACATTGAGTCAATTGCTTCGCCCACCGCAAGGAATGTTGGCTCCGTGTGCCGCACCAGGAAATTTTTCTCCCCGGAATCGATCCTTCAGATCTACAAATCAACAATTCATCCTTGCATGGAGTATTGCTGCCATATATGGTCTGGAGCCCCTTCTGTTTGCCTCGGGGTTCTTGATAAGCTCCAGAGGCGGATATGCAAAATAATTGGCCCTGCTCTGGCATCTCGTCTACAGTCACTCTCTCACAGACGCGCCGTCGCCTCTCTCTGTCTTTTTTACAAATACTCTCATGGCAATTGCTCCGAGGAGCTGCATTCGCTGGTTCCCAGACTTCATGAATT